ACACCGCCGGCCGACCAAGGAAGGGACAGGGGGCGCAGGTGAAGGAGATGATGGGGAGAGAGGCCAGCCGGCGGTGGGGAAGGGGCCGCTGCGCCGGCGACGGACACGGCTCCTGGAGTGGCCTAGAGAGGGAGGAATGGGGAGAGAGGGAGGCGGGTGGTCGCGGGGGGAAGGCAGGCGGTGGCCTCGGCGGCGGCGGTGGGTGGACGCGGGCAGCGGCGGCAACGGGAGCGTCTCCCCCTCGATCCGTTTCACTGGAGTGAAAGAGGGCAGTAAGGGGAGGGAGGCCGGTCCGCGGTCCTGTGTTGGGCTTCGCCGCGCCGTGGCCCATGGTGCGGCGTTGTCGCGCCTGTCACATCGGCGGCCAGGGCCCGGGGAAGTGCCACATCATCGCCGCTGCCGCGCCGCCATGCATGGCGCGTCAACGTTGTTTGGCCACGCCGTGGCAATAGGCACGGCCAAAAGTGTTAGATTTGAAAATAAAAAAATTCAGTGTCAAATTGGAAAATAATTTAAAAAAAGTGTTAGAAATAAAAAAAATCGCCCTAGAAGACTAGTAGAGCAGTAACAAATCCTTTTTAGTGTCAAGCAAGTTGGGTAGGCTAAGTAGCAGCTCTACAAGGTAAAAAAGAAATACTATTGCGTGATATGACAGAGATTCTAGCTTTTTCTACATGTCAAGACATTTTCTGAAACTTACAAAATTTTGATGAGGTTGTTACACGTAATGTTCTCACGACAAAAGTTCGTTGTGATAGGACTAGTAAGTCCTTTTGGAAGGCAATGGATGTGTGGTGTTCTTACACAACGACAGAAGGATTGGCTGGTTGAGCTGCTGAGGTGGTCCTTGCCTCCTTGGTGCTAGTCTGGTTAGTAATAGTAGTTGGGATGTGGCTACTAACTCTATTCCATGACTATGCTGTAAAAATGCAATTTCATCTGAACTAAGAAAATAAGATACGGACAAGTCAAAGCTTGTCCAAAAGTTGTGTTTTTGAGACATTCTTCTGAATCAATAGTGCAACAAGCTGCAAGGTGTTCTCTTGTATTGTATGCCATGCCCTACACTATTACAGTGTTTTTTCTCCTGTTGCTTCTGTTTCTCTTTTGGTGGCAAATTTCTGTAACAGTTCTTTTCTTTTTAGAAACCTTGACTTAACTTTGTTAATTAAAGGTTCCGTCACGTCCTTTTGCAATGTTCCATCCTTATAGATCACCTTTAATTATAGGTAGAGCCAGGCCTGCTGAGTACCTAGAACACTATTGGATGATTATTATTCTAGTACTCGTGATGGAGATATTGTGACTTTGGCTTCTTAAACTCACAGCATCTTCAGCAGAAATAGTTGATTCTTGAGTAAATAAGCATGTCACCGTAATTTCTTGAGCAGATGTGCATGTTTTTCCTGCTGGCAAACAAAGGGGCAGCTTTTTGGACATATAACTTCCAGAAACTGGAATGCTATTGCCAATTCATTGTGATGATATTTAGTGAGGGATGGGGCCAATGCCAGATCACTGGTTCTCTCATGAACATGTTGTGACACAGACATATATGATATATACGTGTAAGACATGTCTTTGCACATAAAGATACTCATGCAGCCAATAGGTAAAAAATTGTGCTTGATTGACAAAATAAGAAGAAAACAATAAAATATATGATTCTTTATACAATACACTAAGTTAAAGTAGTTTTGAAGTATTTGTTACATCGAGCTACTTATAACTACTAAAATCCATTTTGGTCAAAGGTATTTTGAAGCTTACTCCTGTTTTCAACACACTGTAAACTCGCGCAATAAAGCCTGTAGTAGTTCTACAAATATGGACTAGAAATTGTTTTTGAGTTAACTGAAATCCTTATTCATGCATAACATTGCTCAGGTCGTCAGATCTTTCTTTTCTTTTTGGTTACATCATCTGCCTATTAAATAGCAATTAAATAACTGATGATGACACTGTCCTTATGCTATTGTTGAACATGTCATTTTCAGATGCATTGTATTCTTGTGAGTACTCCTTAGGGCTGAGGGTATCATCTATTTAGGGCAAACTGGTGTCAATAATGGTTCAGCTTTGAGTCTATTGCATTGCCTTTGCGCAGAAATAAAAGAGATGGCAACTCATGTCTACCAAAGTGCCAATTGACCACTTGGTAAGGAATGTGCATCGATCTGCACATATGACCAATGCATGCAGTCTTCAGATAACAAGGACCCATCCTCCCTCGGTCTCCATGAAGAGAGCAGTTGAAGCCTAGCTCTGTACAGAAAGACTCGTTTTTCTGCTGGTATTGATTAGCTGTGAGGTACTAAGCTTTGCACAAGAGACTTCAGAATTGTTTAGAAATTATTAGAACCGTCCATCAGTGGTCAGAGTCACTGAACTGCCTTGTCAGCATGTGCTGCAAAATTCTGAGGAATGGTTGTTTTCAGATCGCTCCAGTTCGATAACCGAAGACTGATTTTGCCTGTTATCAGAACAGATATGTAAAACGCTATTCGACAATGAAACTGACACCCAACCTATTGCTATTGCTATGCTGCAAGAAGTTTCCTGAAGGCAGTGGAGCTTGTCTCTGTCGTCCACAGGTAACATAAATATAATTGACCTTACATATATATACCTGCGGGTTGGTTATGCTGGCACATTCCATTGTAATTAAACATGAGCAAGAGCAATAATTCATATGGTCCTGCCTTGCATTGGTCCCCCTCATGTTAACTCAAGGCTATACCGAGGATGAGATGTATGCCTCTGATCGATGCTTATTATGCTCTCTGTAGAATAAGTAGTAGTTACTACTTACTAGCCAGATTCTTTGCATAGATGAGTTAAACATGCAGTTCTTACAGGCGTGCCTTCCATCAACCATACAACATATATGCTGATGAAGGTTGATCAAGTTCAACTGGCCAACATTTGTTTCATATATATATTTCGCACTTTGAATCGCCGCATAGTGTGCATGGATTATTGTTTTTTCTGGCTTGATGCAGACAGCCCTCAGTCGCCTATTTTTGTCCTCACAGAAGGTAGGCATCCTCCTTTCATTTGGTTGAAGATTTAATGATATGAGTTACTTAGACTATGACTGGACTAAACATTTTAGACTATGACCGATGGACATGCATGCCGATTTTGTGTTCTTTTCTTTTTTGTTTCTCCTTGCACAGAATTTTGTTCCACCTCAAATTTTGCATGAACATAGATACCTGCATCATCTATCCATCCGTGTTTTTTGCTGAATTGTTCATGCACATTTTGATGTGAAGTTTTGTATTGGGAGCACAGGAGAACCTAAGACACTGGGGGGCACTGACTGGATATGCATGTTCTCGTGGTTGATAGAGGACAAAGTTTGAACAGTATATGGTGTTATGATCTCTTGTCCAGCTCTACCTGATCTGAGGCATGCATATATCTAAACCAATGAAGCTTCAGTACGTTCTGTACTCAGGTGTGCAACATCAGGATTCCAGCGACAGACTAGTCGTTGTACAGGCAGAACAATCAAAGCTTGAACCGTCATCGGCTTGTACACTTCGCTCTGAGGTTTCTGCCCTCATCTAAAGGTCTAATATACCATTTGGGCTGTTCATTTTTTCAAAAGAAAAAGAAATATACTTGAATGACTTGTGAAGTTCACGCGCTACCCTATATCATGTTGTCGTTTTTCTGTCAGTAGTATGAAATAGATTGTCTCTGTTTTTGGCTGGTTGCCTGCTGTACGTGCATTGTAGGTCGCTTAAAACTCTCTCGCATTTATATGGAAAATACGTGCACAAGTTCTCAGAAAGAAAAACAGATGCAGAGGTACGGTTTCTGTTTTCTGCAAATGACATAAAAGGGACGTGTACGAGAGAAGGACACGTCTCGGGTAATGTCTCAATCATGGAATAGTAATGTTTCCCTGTATACTGATGTCAGCGCTCTTAGTTGCACCGTGTACCTTGGGATTTATTTAGTTTGGCATCTGACTACAGCAATTGCATTTCCACTTATGTTGATGGCTTGTTCGAATATGCGTTATTTTCCATTGAAAGTTGTACTGCATAAATGCTCTAACACTTGTTCAGTTTTCCATGGAAGCATTAAAGCGCTGGAAAAGAAAAGAAACGATTTGTGTTAAATGGATGGGATGGGGATAGGGGGCACATATATAAGAAATGAGTTTTCTTTCTGCACTGAATGTGATCAGGGACCATCTGCTTACCGATAGAGACTTGCCATTACATCAGGGACCACTGCACCAACTTATTCTATCTAGCCATTCATTCATTCATGTTTTCTTTATTCTTGAGCCCTGCTGTTCTGCATTTCATATTTTAGAGTGTACAGAAAGTACAGCAAGAAGTCATGGCAGAGTCCACACCATTGCTGGCTTGCTTGCTACTAACACATACACAGGTAGAAACTTTCTTCACTGCTCCTGATAAACTTGAGTGATCACACATTTGTTCCTTTTTAAAAAGGGGTAAAATTCTAGTAAGTACTTCACTGTGGATGGACAAATAGATACCAAAAGTTCAATATGCAGAGCAGTATATATATTTATATTTATATTGACAAAAACAATATGAAATACAATAACTGTAATTACATCATGCTGACATGCTTACTGCATGTCATTCAGTCACTCTTATTCCTAGCCTGTTGCTATGTCTTTATTCTTCTGACTTTTGATTGACAGTGTCAAAACTACCACAAGTAACGTGTGTATGTATACCTAATAAATAGGTGGGTAAGTAAGATGGCCTTCACTGGGGTGTTTGACTTTGACCAGTATGTGTATGTATATATCTTGTCTTGTCTCATGCAGGCATCCATGCATCCATATATGATATATGTAGCAACATATATATGTAAGTATATAATAACTTTGTTCTAAAAAAAGTAACTTGCAGCAACAAATTATAACCTAACTAATAACTGCTGTGTATATTGGGCTGTCATATATAGTATATTATTGATCTCTTCTCTTCTTTGTTTTTGATTTAAAACATCATTGGAACTGATGAGCAGCAGTCTTCGGACAGATCCATGAGGTCGCCGACCTGCTCGGCAGCCTCTTCGAACAGCCACGTCTCTATCGGAGACAGCGGGGACGGCTGCCTGGGGTCGTCGTAGCCGCCGTGCCCCATCAGCGCTGCCTGCTGCGCATGCGGCGGCGACGGCATCATGTCGTTGAAGCAGGCTGCTGCAGGTGGCGTGCCACTCCCGGTGCCGGCGGACATGTGATGGAACGACGACGACAACAGCAGAGCATGGTTGTTGTTGACTTGAGCGGCCGAGGGCTTGATGTCGGCAGCTGCAGCGTCGGGGGACGGGGAGCTCTGCTGCTGCTTCATGAAGCCGGTGAGCAGCTTGGATATGTTGTCCATGCTGGAAGCGTAGGACGAGGAGGATCTGTCGCCGCCGTCGGCGGCGAAAGGAGAGCGCCGGGCGATGAGCTGGGCGACCTCGTCTGGGTTGCTGCAGCAGCCTCCTGGGCGCGCGTAGTAGCTGTCCTTGGAGACGAGGGGATTGGTGCCGAGCATGTCACGGTGGTGGTGGTGGTCGATGACATGGCTGCCGCCGCCGACGACGACGACGGTGGTCGTGGGCATGACGATGGACGAGGACAAGGAGGAGTCGGAGGCCGGAGGCGGCGGCGCGAAGATGGCGCCGATGGCCTGGTGCTTCTTGAGCTTCTTCTTGAGGTGGGTGTTCCAGTAGTTCTTGATGTCGTTGTCGGTTCTCTGCGGGAGGTAAGAAGCAATGGCGGCCCACCTGTTGCCTAGCAAGGACTGGAGGTGGACGATGATGCCTTCCTCGTGCGGGGTGAAGTTGCCTCGCCGGATGCCGGGGCGGAGGTAGTTGGTCCAGCGGAGGCGACAGCTCTTGCTGCAGCGCATGAGGCCCGTGTTGATGGGCACGGAGCGCCAGTTGCCCGGGCCGTGCTCCTGGATGTAGGACACCAGTATGATGTCCTCCTCTGGCGTCCATGGCCCCTTCTTGATCCCCTCCTTGTCGCAGCACGGCGGCCTGCCCATGGCTAGCTGCTACCTGCTGCTCCCTCTGCCTGCCTAGCTACCTGTGGCTATGTAGCTCTGCTCCCATGAAGCGTACGTGCAGTGTGTGGCCGGTTGGTTATATATAGGGCGAGGGGTGAATGTGAGTGAGCTCCTTTTCACTTGCAATCATCTAACTAATAACTAACCAACCTACTCCTAAGTTTGCCGCCAGCAACTGCCTCAGCTGAGCTACCTAGCTGATGGGTTTAGTTTTCACTCATGGTATGTGTGTGTAGTTTGTGCACGCATGCATGCTGTCCCTTTCTGTCACCGACATCACATGGATGGAAGATGGAAATTGACCCGGCCGGCCGGGCCCCACTTTAAAGCAAGGGTTACCAGGTAACCGTTACCTGTTGGAACTGTTGACTGCTCCTGTGTGAAATTTAAAGCTACTAAGCTGGCTGCCTGGAGTTTGCATGCATGCTCACTCAAGAGTCAAGGCATTTTTTTTCTGCTGATGAGAGTGGTACATATGAAGGGTCGTTGCCCATACTTTGGGTGATAGCTACCGGGGTGTTTAAATCCAGGCACTAAAGTTTATAGGTGTTATATGGGGTGTCACATCGAGTGTTCGGATAGTAATAATAAAATAAATTACAGAAGTCATCAGTAATTCACGAGACGAATTTATTAAGCCTGATTAATCCGTCATTAGCACATGTTATTGTTGAAAGCTCTAGTTTGGTTTTGGTGAATTGATGAAACCCTAAGTGCTAATCTAGTTTATCAAAGTGATTATAAGATATGTGGCACATTCCAAGTGGTGAAGCAAATGAAGATCATGACATGATGATGGTGATGGTATGGTGATGATCAAATACTTGGACTTGGAAAAAAAGGAGAAAGAAAAACAAAAAGCTCAAGGCAAAGATGAAACTTGATAGGAGCTTTTTCGTTTTGGTGATCGAGACACTTAGTGAGTGTGATCACATTTAGGATCGATAGCCGTACTATTAAGAGTAGTGAAACTCATATCGAAAAGCGGTTATCAAAGTGCCACTAGATGCTCTAACTCATTGCATATGCATTTAAGATCTAGTAGAGTGCTAACACCCTTGAAAACATTTTGTGAAAATATGCTAACACGCATGCACAAAGGTGATACATATTGTGTTTAGCACTTGGGAGCAAGGGTTCGAAACTTCACCGGCGGAGTGTCCGGTGGCTAAAGCTAGGCGTCGGTCAGCCAGCAGAGACTGACCGGACTCTGAGCGAGTCTGGTCATGTGTGACCGGATTCTGGAGAGCAGCGTCCGGTCAATTATAAAAGAAAGTGGTACTCTCGGCCTATGACCGGACGCAGATGACCAGACTCTGCCTGAACACTGTTCAGCGTCCGGTCCTGCTGATGTTGCGGCACACAGAGAAGAGGGTAAGTGATCAGACGCTAGGCGAGTCCGATCGGGCGTGACCGGACGCGTCCGGTCGTGACTGGAAGTGATCGGACGCTGGGGTCCTGTGTCCGGTCCTACACTGTAGAGCGTCCGGTCACAACTTAAGTGCACGGATGACCGTTGAGATCGGACGATCAGCATTTGAAGCAGGGGTCACGTGGCGTGCATCGCGCGACCGGACGCTGGGTCCTGCGTCCGGTGACCCAGCGTCCGGTCGATCTGACTGGCGCGTCCGGCCGCCCCGATTTTTCAGTGAACAGAGAGCTAACGGCTCTATTTCGTGGGGGCTTCTATTTAAGCCCCATGGCCGGCTCAGGCTCACTCTCTTGGCCATTTGTATTAACATAGCAACCTTGTGAGCTTAGCCAAAGCTCTTCCACTCATCTCCATTATTGATTCATCATCTTTATGAGATTGGGCGTACGTACAGTGTGTGGCTATGTAGCTCTGCTCCCATGAAGCGTACGTGCAGTGTGTGGCCGGTTGGTTATATATAGGGCGAGGGGTGAATGTGAGTGAGCTCCTTTTCACTTGCTATCATCTAACTAATAACTAACCAACCTACTCCTAAGTTTGCCGCCAGCAACTACCTCAGCTGAGCTACCTAGCTGATGGGTTTAGTTTTCACTCATGGTATGTGTGTGTAGTTTGTGCATGCATGCGTGCTATCCCTTTCTGTCACCGACATCACATGGATGGAAGATGGAAATTGACCCGGCCGGCCGGGCCCCACTTTAAAGCAAGGGTTACCAGGCCCTTGTTTAGTTACCCCAGAATCCAAATTTTGTCACTATGCAAAAAGAATATTTCCTATCACATCAAACTTGCGGTACATGTATATAGTACTAAATGTTGACGAAATCAAAAACTAATTGCACAGTTTGGTTATACTTTGCGAGACGAACGTTTTGAGCCTAATTAGTCAATGATTGGACAATTATTATCAAATACAAACGAAATGCTACATTACGCTACAGTGCCGGAACAGTATCGGAGAATTCCGGCTGCGCCGATTCTGCAAGGAACTAAACGCGGTACCTGGTGGAACTGTTGACTGCTCCTGTATGAAATTTAAAGCTACTAGGCTGGCTGCCTGGACTTTGCATGCATGCTCACTCAAGAGTCAAAGGCATTTTTTTTTCAGCTGATGAGAGTGGTACATATGAAGGGTCGTTGCCCATACTTTGGGTGACAGCTACGGGGGTGTTTAAATTCGGGGACTAAAGTTTAGAGGTGTTATATAGGGGTGTCAAATCGAGTGTTCGAATAGTAATAATAAAATAAATTATAGAAGTCCTCATTAATCCACGAAATGAATTTATTAAGCCTAATTAACCGTCATTAGCACATGTTTACTGTAGCACCACATAATCAAATAATGGACTAATTAGGCTTAAAAATTCGTCTTGCAAATTAGTCTCAATCTGTGCATTTAGTTTCGTAATTAGTCTATATTTAATACTCCACACATGTGTTCGAACATCCAATGTGACGGGGCTAAAGTTTAGGGGTGGAAAACAAAATGGGCCTGTTTAAATCACTGACTAAAGTTTAGTCCGTTGTTGGATAATAGACTAAACATGGACTCATTAAAATTTTCTTTTTTCTAGTGAATTCTACTCATCAATTATCCTCTATTAATTTTTGTTAGACCATAATTATTTCATATTTAGGCCTTCTATTTGACATCCAAAACATGGACTAAAGTTTAGTTCAATCCATCCAAAGTTCCAAACACCCCTTATATATGTTTCAGCTACAAAGGTCCCTGTTTGCAGGTTTTAGTATTTCCTCCTACTAGAAATATATAGGTACTTGCTGTCCTTATAATTCACTATGACAAATGTTTCTATAACATATAAGTCATTTGAATAAAGATATAGCACATTTTGTGTAGATATTGCTAGTCAAAGTTGAAAAGGAGTTTAACTAGAACAATCCCTAGATGGACTTATATTTTCAATAGGAGAAAGTACACACATACTCCTGTTGTAATTTATATGTGTGCCTTCATTCATATGGGCGAGCGTCTGTGTTTGTGCTGTGATCCTAAAAAAATAAGAGAAATAAGGGCACCGATGAAAATTCCAATGAGTAATAATTAAACTGTGGACCTCAGTTACAGCTTACAACAAGACTAAGATCATATAATTAATACTTATGCTTTGGTTAGTCGACCTAATTAATAAGTAAATAATATAATGGACCTGCATGACTTTTATCGAGTGATGCAGTAGGCCCACCCTCATAATCGTGCGGCAACTTGCAAGTTAGGCCCAGCACATGCATTGGAAGAGAACGCAAATGTGCCCTGTAGTCCAGCCACATCTCTGCAATAAATTAAAACTGTGGATGAAACTGATCTCTCCTGTTACCAATTAATTAAATATTACCCTCGCACGGCACATCGGTACCCACGTCATATTTTTTCTTGTATATATGGATCACAACAGAATCAATCGGTATCTCATCGGTCAATCACTCGATCTTTAATGAGTGGAGTATGCTTGCTAGCATGTAACTATAGTTTATTTAAAATCTATTAGTTTAGATGGACTATTGCTAGTTGTGGGCTTGTGACTAAAAGTTAGTTAGCTAGCTAGTAATTAGTGTTGTGAAATGACATATTCACCAACATACACCTTTTCAAGAGATGATCTCATCTGTTGATTCTAGAGATTAGGTTTATGATTAGCAGTTACTTGTGTCACCTGCTAAGGGACATGTCCTTTGGCAACTCACTATGTGGTGAACGGTTGCCTATTTATTATGAAGATGCACCTTTTCAACCTACACACCCTTTCACATGCATAAATACCTTTATGAGCAGTTACATTTGATTCTAGAGACTAGCTTATGATTAGCAGTTACATGTCCATTAGCAACTGACTGTGTGGTGAACGGTTGTCTATTCATTCATGAAGATGCACCATTTCGATACACCCCTTTCACATGCATAAATACCTTTACGAGCCCGACGAAAACAACAGCTTTTTCAACCATTGGTTCATTTTACATTTCCGCGTCTTGCGTGAGCTCCAATTGCATGCGTTCGGCGGTTCCACCGGACTCGACCAGAATCTCAGTGGAATATATATCCCCTATAGCAAGATGAAATCGACACATACCGTCTCTCAACCAAATACATTTAAAAATGGATTCGACCAACTCAACCCAAATTGATCCCAAGAACAACGTGTGCACGTCCTACCTTGTATTTTTTTTGATCGAGACAGAGGGCGTGTGTACCTACTACTTGTGCAGAGGCGGTAGCCAATAGCCATGGCCATCCACACTTCCCCAGTACTTGTGCACTGCTGGTAGCCAATACCCATGCCCTGCCATCCATGGCGTAGGACGCGGCAGTGTGCTTTTAATTTGTGGGAGGCTGGGTCTCCACGTCGTCACACACGCGTTATTAGTTCCCCCTGATTGGCCAGCCCGTCGCTAGCTTCTCTCCCAGCAGTATTTATTATGCTCAACTCACCATATATATATATATATATATATACGTATATCCCACGTGCCCGGCCGTTGAATAATAGGCGTTTACGTGCTGTGAAAGGCCTTCTTCATGCTGCGT